TGCCCTGGGGAAGGACTGTATTTCAGATTAATTTAATATTCATTTGGTGGTCACCACTCCACCCTCAATAGAATGTGAGCCTCCTGAGAGCAGGGACTGTTTCATTTTTGTCTTTGTTGAGTCCCCAGGGCTTAAAGGCACAGTGCCTGGTGGAGCTTAATAAATGCACATTGGACTGACTTGTTGGTGCTGCCTTAAAGAGGAGGAAACAAAGCCCTGTAATTTAGATGGCTCTTACAGGGCCACAGGCCTGATTTATACAGAGACTGGGCCAGAGTCCATGTCCTGGCCCCTCCCCCTGCTTGTCCCTCTGGGACACATCCTGACTTATGTGGAGCTGGTGTGTGGCTGTGCTGGCAGAATGTGCCCTGCTCTCCCTCCCCTCTCTTCTTTTCCTTCTTTTTCTCTCCCTCTCTCCTTGTCTCCCTCCTCCTCTTTCTGTCTCTTCTTTTCTCTGTCTCTCTCCCTCTCTCCCTCTTCCTCTTTCTGTCTCCTTTTCTCTCTCTCCCTCTCTCCCTCCTCCTTTCTGTCTCTTCTTTTCTCTCTCTCTCTCCCTCTCTTCTTTTCTCTCTCTCCCTCTCTCCCTCTTCCTCTTTCTGTCTCTCTCCCTCTCTCCCTCCTCCTTCTGCCTCTTCTCTCTCTCCCTCTCTCCCTCTTCCTCTTTCTGTCTCTCTTCTTTTCTCTCTCTCTCCCTCTCTCCCTCCTCCTCTCTGTCTCTTTTCTTTTCTCTCTTTCTTACCACTCTCCCCTCCCTAATCGAACAAGTTCGATTCTCTGGAAAAGAAACAACATGAACACAGATAAGAACAAATAGATATAAAGGAATTTCCCGGAGCGGGGGAGGGGACTGGAGTCAGGAAAACCTGAATTGGAATCCAGCCTCAGATACTGCAGAGTTGTGTCACCTTAGGTAAGTCACTTCACATCGGTGAAATTTCTTCTTGTGTAAAATGAGGATCATAACAGCACTTACCTCTCAGGGTTGTTGTGAAGATCAAATAGGATACAATGTGTAAAGTACTACTTAGCACAGGGCCTGCCACACAGTAGGCACTTAATAAATGGTGTTGCCTTTATTCTTCCCTTCCTCCACCCGGGGATCAGAGATTTCAGTGTAGGCGCCATGGGAGCCCTTGAGCTGAGCTGTGGTCATTTCTGGGCCAGTGAAGGCGGCTGTTCATCCTGGCAGGCGGAGCAGGGCAGAGCCCCTCTGGTTGGCGCCATTTGGAGCTCTGTGGTTAATTAGGTTCAGGGACAGGTGCATTTGTTTCCCACCACCACCCTTTTCCTGTTTGAGGACAGGAGCCTGGACGGGATGAACCCTGATCTCCAGCCTAGGAGGGTTTCTCCAATTTGCTGGGCTGGAAAGAATCTTTATGGAGCATTCTTCAGGCCAAAGCCTAGTGATGAGAGAGCTTTGGAATTTTTCCCGTGCAGAAACCCCGACTTAGCCTTTGGAGCCCTGGCAGCAGGCCAAAAGCCCGCTCCTGGATGCTCCGCACGCTGACGAAGAGGTCTCTTGCCTGCAGTACCTCTCTCCTTCCCAGCCCCTGTCTGTGGAGTAGGGACTTGCACATATCTTTTGATCTCCTTCAGGTGCCGTGACTTCCAGTCTCAAACTTTCCGTGCCCTCTTTCTTCCTTCCTTCTGCCTCAGCTCCACTCAGAGATTGGCCTTCTTCTGTGACAATGGCTGCCCTTCACCTCGCAGTTCACAAACTCAGAAATCCCTTGATCAGACTGGAATCTTCTACTGCCCCACACTTTGCTGTGCTTCACAAAACTCGCTTGGTTCCGCCCCAGGCCATCACTCCGGCATGGGCTGCTCTCTCCCCTTTCCCCATCTTGACCCCTTGATGAACCAATTCCACTGCACACTGTCCTGCTGTCCAGTGCCTTGGCCTCTGGTCCCACGGCCATACACACCTTGCCAGCCTCCAGCCTCCTAGCGCCGTCCTTCCTGGAGCTGAGCGTGCTCATGTGCTGCTGAACAGAGCTGAAGGAATTTGGGGGTCCACTCCAGAGGGAAGTTCCTGATCTCCCCCCCGGCAGGCCCTCAGTGCAGCACTGTTGGGCTGTCCCGCTCTCCACACTAGGTTCTATGCCTTCTTGTCTCTCCTCCGGTCCTGCGAGGTGCTCCCCCTGCCCTTTCTACTGAAAAGATCGAGGCTGCTCAGGGAGAACTCCCCCTCTTCATCACACATGGTTCAGATAGCTTCTCCCACTGTCTTCTCCTTCACTTAGGGTTCTGATGGCCGGGGATTGTCCATGCCAAGGCCAGGATCCCGTGCTCTCTTGTCTTCTCCAAAAGGTTGTGCCTGCATTCATCGCCATTCTGCTCCCTGTCATTGCCAGTCTGTCCCTCTCTGCTGGCTCCCTCCCTGCAGCTGCAAACGTGCCTGTGTCTCCCCATCTTGAAAAACTCACGTGATCATTCCACCCCACTCTCTCTCTCTTCCTTTATCTGTAATCCTCTCATGGCTCAACTACTTGAAAAAGTCTGCAGCTGGGGCTTCCATGGCCTCCCCTCTCTCTCTCTCTTCCAAACCCTTTGTACTCCGCCTTCAGCCTTCATTGTTCAACAGAAATTGCCCTCTCCAAAGCCACCAGTGATGGCCTCGCTGCCCAATGCAGTGATCTTTGCCCAGTGCTTTCATCCTTCTTGACCTCTCTGTGGCCTTGGACACCAGAGCAACCTCTCCTCATGGAGACTTTCTTCTGCCTTGGTTTTCAGGACTCTCTCTCTCTCTCTCTCTCTCCCCCCCCCCCTTTCTGTCTCTCTCCCAGTTCTCCTTCTGTCACTCTGACTGACCGCTCCTTCTCAGTCCCCTTTGCTGTATCTTCAACCAGCCCACTGCCTGTGGGCGTCCATAGGGCTCTGCCCTGGGCCCTCATCCATTCTTCCTCTGTCTGCTGTTGTTGTTCTGGGTCCTTTGTTCTCAAAGACTGCCGATGACGTCAGGAGGGTGATATGGCTTGGCTTTGGGGTGAATTGGATTTAAGCGGGGCAGGGCTGTGCGGAGTTATCAGCCTCACCTCACCTCCATTGCCTTTGACGCATCTGACGCTGGATGTCCTGTAGACATCTCGAATTCATTATGCTTCCCTACCCCAATGCTGCCCTAGTCCTCCCCTCTCGCTGCATCCCCTAGAACCACACTCCTGGCATTGTCCTTCTTTCTCTCACCCTGTGCACTGTGCTTCTAATGTCTCCCCTCCCCTCATGCAGCCGCCATCTTACTGCCTCTGGAATGGACTCAGCACTAGTGGTCTAACTGGTCTCCCCACTCTAGCCCCTCCCCCACTCCGTTGCCAAGGTGATTTTTCAGAATCTTTGTCTGGCCATGTCACCCCTCTGCTCCAGGTGCCACAGGGGCTCCCATCCGCTCGGGTCATTGGGCATAACTTGGGCCCTTCCCGCCTTTTTGGTCTTCTTACACGTGACTTCTGTCCACTTACCGCCTAGTCCAGATGCTGCGGGTGTCACTCACTCCCCCTCCCATTCTTAGCTACCTGAGGTCACTGGCTGCTAGGAGTCTTCTGCTCCCTTCTCCACTGTGTGTACTTTGTGTTACCTACTTATTTACCCCGTTCTCTCCTACATTTGTTGTTCAGTCACGTCTGACTCACCGTGACCCCAATTGGAGTTTTCTTGGCAAAGATACTGGAGTGGTTTGCCATTTCCTTCTCCAGCTGATTTGACAAATGAGGAAACCGAGACAAACAGGGTGAAGTGACTTGACTAGGGTCACCCAGCTGCTAAGTGTCTGAGGCCAGATTTGAACTCGGGTCTTCCTGCTTCCAGACCTGGCACTATCCACTGGGCCACCTAGTTAGCTGCCCTTTAGGATGTATGCGTCTTGAGGGAAGGAATTTTTGCCTTTCTTTCTAACTGCAGCCCTTAACGTAGTGCCTGACACATGGTAAGCATTTAAGAAATACTTGCAGACTGCCTGCCCAGACTTCTGCCCCTCAACTGGCTTTTCTTATAGCTGGGGGGATTTGGGGAGTGGTCTTTTCCCCTGGTGCTTCCCCACCCCCAGTCAGGGTGGCTCTGAGACCTTGACATTCCATCTCCCCCAGACGCTGCCCCTGCCCACTGGGGGCCATGACGGGCAAGGGTCAGGCTGAGGAAGTTAGTGATATGTATCTTCATTGTGTCAGCTTAGGGGGAGGAAAGACAGAGGGCTTCCATGTTCTCAGTGGCCTTCGCCTTCGTCTCTTCTCCCTCGGCATGTCTTCTCGGTCCTTACGGAGCTGGGGTGGGGAGTGCCTCGGTATCTATGAGGTCTGCTGCTGGGTGAGTCAGGATGGAAGAAGAAGATGGGGAGTCTTAATGACCTGGCGGGGGTGGAGCCCATCCCTCCATGCCTTTCATCTTGGGATCTCTAAGCACCAGGTAGTGTCAGAGTCATTAACCCTCCTGGGATCCGACTTTAAGCTGGCTGTGATATGGAAGAGGTATGAAATGGGGGCTCCCTGGAGGCAAACATGGCATCCCTCCCATGGCAGCCCTCCCTTTTTCTCAGGCCAGGCCCTTGTCTCACCTTCCCCACAGGCCACTTGTCCTCCAGTCTATATCTCACTGGTCAGTTTGTTTGAAGCAGAGCCATCTCATTGGCCAGCCCGCCGGACCTCCCTTCCTGTCTGGCCCCCTGGCTCTGTACCTTTCTAACTGTCAGGACACTCCCTCTGCCCGTGCCCCCTCACACATAAACACTCTGTCTGTCTGTCTGTCTGTCTCTCTCAACACAGGGCTGCCCTGCCTCTTTAGCCCTGTTCCCCCTTCCAGCAATAAAGAGAAAGCTGGCTAGGGGTCACCTTCTCTCTCTTTGCCCTAGCCAGGACCAGCCGCCCTTCTGGGCAGCAACAAACAGCAGGGAATCTGACTCAGGCCGTGGATTGCTTGGGGCCCCTCCCCAGCCCCCGCCTCCCCATGGCAGCTGAGGTTGAATCCCTGCCAAGGGGGCAGGCCTTGAGGAGGGAAACTGGGGGAGTGAGCGGGAGCTGGGCCGCTCGGAGCAGGGTCAGCCAGCCAGAGCAGGGCTCAGATGCTGACATGCCAGGAGAGCGGAGCTGGCTCCCTCTGGCCCCTGAGCCCACCCTACCTGGGATCCCTCCTCTCTGAACTCCCCACTCAGGTCCAGCCTTGTCTGGACTGGAAACAAGAAAGCCGGAGGAAGAGGGAGGTGGAGGTGAGCCAGAGAGAGAGGGTGGGGCCTGAGGGACAGAGATGGTGCCTGCCCTCGTGGGAGAGGGTGGGGAGGAGGGCAGGACCTTTCGGTGCCTTGCGGGTGCTGCCTGCTTGGGGGTCTGGACCTTCTGGTCCTTTGTGGGAAGGTACTATCTGTTTCCCTTTGTTCCTTGAGGGAGGAGGGAAGTAGGTAGTGAGGAGAAAGGCCTATTGATTGGGGTGGGGGGAGGGAGGACCTTATTTTTACTTTTCCTCATCTTTCACTAGAATGAATGAAGTTTATCTGATCTCTCTCCTCACATACTTGTTGTGGGAATCAAAGCCTTGGCCTCCTGCTGAGGCTCTGAGAAAAGTCTCCTTTGTGCTGGGCCCCCACTGGGGAGTGATGGCTCAGCACCCTCTCTATGTCTACCCCCAGCTGCTCCTGGATGGAGTTCCAGGCCTTCCTTCCTGCCACCTGAGACCTCCCTAGCCGTCCCCCAGTTCTCTGTGTTTGCCTTGGATCTCTGCTATTACCAGGATCGTGATTGGAGGCAGTTTATTATTGGGCAGGAAAAGTAGGGCTGGCCCAGGCTGCTGGGAGTCCTCCAGGCCTCCACTTAGGCCTGAGTTTGGAAAGTGGTGTAGGTGTGGGTGATGTGTGGTGTGGAGGGGGGGGCAGTCAGTCACCAGAAGGAAATTCAGGAGAGCTGGGTGGTGTGGTCCCAGCCCCAGATAGGGGCCTCCTGGACTGTAAGAGGCACTCAGGGCTCCAGTGTCTTTCGGGCCCTTCGTAACTGGGCCTGACTTCTTGTTTACCTCCAGGATAGAGGAGAGAAGTCCTTTGTGTTACTTGAGCATTTGTGGAAGGGCAGGGGGAAGGGGAAAGAGGGTGGTCCAGCAACTTTCCTCTCCTATCCTCACCTGTCCTTCGTTATTATTAGTGATACTAATGGGCTGAGGAAAGAGTCACTACTTATGATAATTGGGCTACAAGGCCTGTATTAGAGCAAAGAAAATCTCAGATCGGTCTAGGTCTGGGCTCAGTTCAGCCCCTCAGAAGGGGTCTGTTCCCTTCCTCTTAGGACTAACCCCCATTTTTCTCTGCCTCCGTGGCTTCCTGTAAAGAAGAAGGCTCAGTAATAGCATATCAGAGCTCAAAGAGACTTTGAGGGGTCATCTGGTCCAGTCCCCTCCCTCACTGTTGGGAGGATGACAGGAGGATTGGATGTTTAACTCAGAGAAGGGAAGGCTCAGGAGGGCCATTTTCACTTATGTTCAAGTATTTGAAGCGTTGTCATGTGGTAAGAGATTGTCCTTGGCCTGCTTGTCCCTGAAGGGCAGACAGGAGCCAGAGAAGTTACAATGAAGCCTGCTTCAGCTCTGTCTGGGAAAAGAACCATGTCCCAGTGGGAGTGCTCCAGGAACGGCAATCCTGGAGGGCTTCCTGTGTTCGGCTATGGCTTGCCTTAGACCCTGGGAGGTCTCCTCCAGCTCCAAGATTCTCAGGGGACTTGTCTAAACTCACCAAGGTGGGACGCATGACGACCTAGACCCTGTTGCATTTTATCCCAATGAATGGGTGACCAGCTAATCCCAGAGAGAGGGAAAACAGGTCAAAGTCACCCCCTCAGCCAAGCCCAGTAGTGTGTGCTGTGCCCACAGAAGAGGGCAGCGGGCACATCCTCCAGGCTCTTCTCCGGGTTGCTGGTATTGGATGTGGCTCCTGAGAGCATGTGTTTGTTCATGTCCTTTGGCCACTTACCCCGGGCAGCGTTGAGAGATGCCCAGTTCCGTGGAGAAAGTCATCCTCCTGTACCGTGCCCTGGTCCAAGCACATCTGAGTATTGTGTGGGGTTGTGGGCGCCACAGCTTCCTGGGCACTCTGATATCCTGGAGAGTGCCCCTGCTGAGGAGGTACCCTAGGCTGGGACAGAGGAGCCGTTGGAGGGATTGGGGGCAGTTGGCCTCTGAGAGGAGACTGGCAGGGCGGCACTGGTTCAGGTGTTGGTGAAAGAGGGCCAGGATTTGTTTCCAGGGAGTCAGACTCAGGCTTGAGGCGGCTGGCTTGGGAGGTGGTGGCCCCGAAGACCTGTCCAAAGGCGGGCAAGCCGAGGCTGCAGGGCCACTTGTCCCGGAAATGTCCGTGGGGATTTCTCTGGGCTCTAGGTTGGGCTGTCTGATCACCAAGGGCCGTTCCGGCTCAAGAATGATTGGATTCTGTGATCATTTCTCTGTTTGTCCTCACACTAGAATTGGGAGCAGTTTGTGAAGGGTGCCCAGACCAGTGCCACCATTCTTGTATGGCCCATAAGCTAAGGATGACTTTTATACTTTTAAACAAAGTGTTCAAAACCATTCTTAGCTTGCAGGCTGTACAGAAACAAGCAGCAGGCCATAGTGGACCTGGCCCTGATGTCCCGTGGGCCTCCTGGGGCCAAAGGCGGGTATCCTGCAGGATAGCCTCTCACCTGCCCGAGGCGCTGTCAGCCAGTGGAGGGAAAGAACGGGGAGCTTTGGTTTGTAGGGGGAGAGGCTGCATCTTCCTCATGACCGCAACTGGTCAAGTCCCAGTTCTGGCTGCTGACTGTTGCCCCACCTCATAAGGAGTCCCTGGTTCCTCTGGAGAGGCCACGCTTAGTCTGGGGTCAGAAAAGCTGGCTTAGAATCCTAGCTCTCCTAGGCACTTAATGGTCCTGGGCAAGACCTTTCCCCCTCCCAAGCCTCACAGCCTCACAGAGTTGTTGTGCAGAAATTTGTAGATTTGTATGTCTGGGTTCTCTCGAAACATGAGGTATCATTATGAACTTGTTGCCAGCTTTTTGATGGGGTTCAGATAGAAATGGCCCTGGGACAATCCACCAGCTTGCTACTAGTCTTCTCCTGTTTGATATTCTATTGAACATGTGGATAAAATAATTCCTTATTGTGATTGATGAAAAATCTAAGGTTGGGAGCCTGGAGTTGAGGGTCATGGAGCGCGTCCTAGGATCAGTCCCATTGACAGACAGTGGGGGTGACACGCGCCTCCTCCTGTTCCCACACATAGTACATCTCCCTGGTTCAGTCTCTGTGTGTTCCATGTAACTTGGGGAATCTGAATAGTTGGCCTGGTGACAACCATTAAAAACATCCTTCTTTGTTTTTTGTGAATCGATGAGCCATAGTGGGCAGTGGGACAATTTGTTGGCTAAGGTCTCCAGAATACTTTTGAGATCTGAGATGGATGTCACTGCACAGGAAACTCCCCAACCAACTTAGCTTTTCAGAAGTCACTGACAGAAGATGGAAGCAGGCGCAGCTAATGAAGTGAGCCCAGGAGCCCAGAGCAGAGGGCCAGAGGGCCAGAGGATGGCCTGTGTGTGGAGCTCGGCTTGAGAAAGCTGAGGGCAGCAGACAGGGGCAGGTGGAAGAAGGGGTGGGCCTGAAGTTCCTGCTGGACTGGACAGAGAGAGCTGGTGATGGCAAGAAGGCTTCCTTTGGGGGGGGGTGATCTCTGGATCAAAACAAAAATGGCGGATAGGAATCTGCCATCACGAGCTTATTGAGCTGCCGTGGCTGGGCCCCCAGGCTGGCAGAACTCCATCCTGGGGTCCTGAAAGGTCTGGCAGATGCAGGTCACTGCTGGGCCCCTGCCACTGACCTTGGAGGGATCATGGAGGGCCAGGGGAGCGCCAGGGCACTGCCATAGCACAGACATCTCCAGTTTTCCACATTGAGAAGAAAGTAGAATCTGCAAACTGGAGGCCAGTGATCTTACCTTTGACCAAATTCTAGAGCTTCTTAAGAAGGTAGTGACCATAGAGGACCAACATTGCACAGCTTCATCCAGGATGGGACAGGCCCTGGTTACTCCTTTGCCCGGGTTACCAGATTGGTAGATCCAGGGGGTGCTGCAGGTGCAGCTTCCCTCGGGGGGCCATCAGGCCCCCAACAGTCTCTCCTGCTATGCTTGTGGACACTGGAGAGATGGGACTAGACAGGAACACAGTGAGTGCGTTTGGACTCTCAGAGGGTCATTCATGGTTTCAGTTGGCCTAGAAGGAACTCTCCCATGGAGGTCTCCAAGGATCTGGGCAGAGCCCTGGGCTTTTTTGGTGTTTTTGTCAGTGACATGGTTAAGGAATAGGTGGTATGCCTGTGAACTTCCCAGATCACCAAAAGTCACTGTGGATAGCATTTAAGACTGAAAATGATCAGTGTGGCTGCCGATGTCTTTTGGGTCAAATCGAATGAGAGAGATTGATGGGGATGAATGTCATTGTTCACACTGGGGCTTAAAAAAATCAGCCTCAGAAGTGTAAAATGAAAGTTGATCTGAAAATGTCCAGGGGGCTTTACTTATCAGTAGCTGAATATGAAGTCACAGCGGGAGGAGGCTCGGGGGTGCCCAGGCCTGGTGAAGGGCCCAGGACTGGTGAAGGGCGGCGTGTACCACCACGTTCAGGAAAGCCCCTCAAAGTCACACCACATGAAGGTCGTTGGAGGGAGCTAAGGATGCTTAGCCTGGACGGGCACGAGAACTCTTCAGGGGTTTGAAGGGCTGTCACCTGTGAGACAGACTCATTCTGCTGTGTGCAGAGAGATGGGCAGACAAGCTTGCTGCTGAGTGGAGCTTCCTCCTCCATGGAGGTCCTCATGTGGCAGCTGAGGGTCATCTGTCTTATGGAGTGCAGAGAGGTTTCTTTTTCTGAGACAACTTGGACCAGATGGCCTTCCAGCTGGGAGATGGAGACAAACTTTTGGAGGCCTTCTATACCCTGGGCACGCTCAGATTCACGTTCCTCTGAGCAGTTAGTCAACAAATCTTTGCTAAGCATCTCCTAGATGTGAAAGGCCTTGTGCCTTATGCATCCTGAGGAGACTGAGCAGGAGTGGCCCTGGCCTGTGCCCCCAAACCCCTCATTGGGAGACCTCAACCGACTCCCCCAACCCAGGGTCATCTTGGGTAGAGATTGGGGGCTGGGGGAAGAGCCATAGTGGGCCTTGAGGAGGTAGAGAGACTCCAGCTGGGCCCCAGAAGGCCAGGAGGGACCTCTGCCCATCCAGCCGTCCCCTTGCCCCTGGACTTAGAGAGCCTGGGACAATTTTCCTCTCAGGAGGTGTCCTCAGACTTCTTGTCGAGGGCTTCCTGTTTCCTGGGAGCACTTTCCCAGGGGAGCCTGCTAGGGATGGGGCCCTCTAGGTCCTCAAGTGTGCAGCCCTTTGATTGAATCCAAACTTGGAAGCTGCAGGTTGCCCGCCCCTGCTCTGGAAGCTCCAACCCTTCTAGGTGGAATAGAAAAACAGCCTCCTCCTTGCACTTCTCCTGCCCTCCCGCCACCTACTTTCAGGCTCCTGCTTTTATAGGGCTCTTCCTCCCTCTTGTTTGTGTTAGGGGCCTGGCCCTCACTGCTGATAAGGCCTGAAGGCTGGGGACTGGGGGGGAGGGGCCCTTGGAGACCCGTGCCTGGTGTGGGAAGGGAAGCCTAGATTAACCCCTCTGTGAGGGTGGGAGCTGACTTTCCTGGACTCAGGCTGGGAATACACACACCAGAGCGACAGCTGTCCCAGAATCCCACCCCGGGTGGGCATTGATCTCTTGACACAAGTGAGGTGTAGCCTCTGGCTGCCAAGGGCCTTGCAGTCTAGAGGAGCTGAGACAGGCTCCAGAGCAGCAGGTGGGAGCCTGGAGGCCCCGGGGCACTCGGGAACGAGAGGGAGCTCTCTGTTCCTTTAAGCTGAGGGTTTGGTGGCCAGGGGGGTCATGTGTGGGAACCCCAGGAGGGCTCTTGGGATCCTAAGGTCTAGGAGCAGCCTGGAGGCTGAGGTGTGGCGCATTTGGGTGGGTGTCTGAGGACAGTGCAGTGGGGGTGGGCTGCACATAGTCCTGGTCTCTGGGTTCAGCTGCTAAGGGTATGGGGATGAGGCTTCTGTAAATATACTCCACCCACTCAGTTCCTCTGTTTGTGTCCATCTGTCCAGCTGCAGACGGGAGGGGGCACTAGGACAAATATCCGGAGGTGTGGCTCTCCGAGCTTCCTACCAGGCTCCCCCAGTGACAGTGGGGGGCTCGCTGTCCCTCTGATGGGGCCGAGAAGGGGAAGGGAAGAAAGGGGAGCGGAACTGCCTGGCAGGAGGTAGATAAGTTGGCAGGCTGGGCCCCCACGTGGCACTGTGTTTATTCGGAACTTTCACTGGCAGGCCTGAGCAGGGAGTGCCCAGCCAGACCCCAAGAGTACGCTGAGGCTGGCCTTTCTGCTTGCCTGCTGCTCCTCCAGGAAGCTCTCCCCCAGATCTGCCTTCCCCGGGACGAGCTGGCCTTCTTTTTGCCTTCCTTCACTTTCTTGGCCCTTATTCTCATCCCCTAGGAACATGGGCTCAGCTACGGTGACAGTCATGGCAAAATGCTTTGAAAACTCTTTTGTGGGGACTGAGGGGGCTGACTGTAGCCACAGGGCCTGCAGGTGACTGATGGCTGGGCCTCAGAACAGAAGGGGAGGGAGGTGCAGTCAGGGCTGGGAAGAAAGTCTGTGGCCCTCTCCTGGACCACGGAGGCCCCATCCCTGCCCACCGATAGCCTTGGCTCACTGACCAGTCAGCCTTCCTTCCCTTGCCTGGGCCTAGCCTGCCCCACCCCCAGCAGCTCCCACAGCCAAACCGGTCCCCCAGGATGGTGCCGCTGCTGGGGGCCGCATCGGGCACTGACTGGCAGGGACTGAGAGAGACCTGGGCTGGGGCACAGGAGAGGGCCACTGCTCTGCCTGAGACCTGGCAACAGCACAGGCACACATATGGGTGCACGCGTGGACCGCATCCCAGACAGGCACACAGCTGCTTGGATGCCGGCAAAGATGCGGTCCCACCTGCCTTTAAAAGGAGGTGTGTGGGGGGGAGGCGCCCAGGCTGCCTGTCCTCGCAGGGTTGGCCGTGGCATCTCCGGTGGGTCCTTGTCTGGGTGTCCAGCCCAGCTCAGGTGTTCCTTCTCCTTTCCCCTCTGACTCTTGACACCCACCTGAGGCTCTCGCAGTGTACGTGGGGTGGGCTGGGGTGCAGGTTAATGTCAGTCCAGCCAGGACCCTTTGGGCTCCTCCTCTATAAAACGGAGCTAGGCCAGCCCTGCCTCTGGCCCACGACCCCTGTGATGTCTCCGATAAGAGGCAGTCGAGGGCTTTGAAAAGGGAGGCTTGGCCTCGACCTCGTGAGGATGGGGCTGTCCTGTCCAGCCTTTCCTGGAGGAAGCGCCCCGGTGATTCTGCCTCCCTTGCTCACAGGCCTGGTAGCTGGGACACGGTGACGACACCCGCACACCATGTTTGGGAAGAAGAAGAAGAGGCTGGAGATCTCAGCCCCGTCCAACTTCGAGCACCGTGTGCACACGGGCTTCGACCAGCGGGAGCAGAAGTTCACGGGGCTGCCTCGGCAGTGGCAGGGGCTCATCGAGGAGTCGGCCCGGCGGCCCAAGCCCCTCATTGACCCTGCCTGCATCACCGCCATCCAGCATGGGGCCCCTAAGGTAGGCGTGTACCCTGGCTCCCCTACGCCTCTGCTGGGCCCAGCCCAGCCCCCCGATCCTGGTGGCCACAAGGGAGGGACCCCTGATCTGTCAATACTGTGCCCACGAGGCGTTGGAACTGACAGGGTCCCCCCTGCCCTGAATGTCAGGCCTTCGTGCATGACGGGTGCCTTCCTGTGGGCAGGCTTGTCTGCAGGTCAGGGGCTAATGTGCAGGAAAGGGCACTCACAGGCTTGGGGAATCCCCTCGCAGCTTCAGTTTACTGTCTGTAAAATGGGATGGTCCCAGTATTAGTGCTGCCTGCTCCAAACTCTTTGTAATCCTTGAAATATCGTTGAGATCATAGTTATCGTTCCAACCCTGGTGCCTGTTAAGAGCAGATGAGCCCCATTTCAGAGATGAGCAAACTGAGGAGGGGGAATGACTTGTCCATGGCCATGCAGCCAGTCCTGTTGGGGCCAGACTTTGAACCCAGCTCTTCCCTCCTGGGGCCCAGCCCTTCAGCTCCCATGCCTGCTGCTCTCCTCCCTTTGACCTTCCCCAACTCAGACTTCCTCCTAGGGGTTGCAAAGGGGGAGAAAATGGCCTTCACCAGGATGAAGTTTAGCTCTGCCCGGGAGGTCAGAGCTGGCCCCGCCTTGTAGGCCACACCCCTCCCCTCCTTCTCCCACCAGGCCTGGGAGCCTTTCCCAGGGTGCTGCTGGTCCTGACCAACCGGTTCTGTCAAGTTCAGTCACATTATAGGAATCGGTTCTCTCCCTGGGCCGGCCCTGCCCCAGCCTCAGGCCCACATGGGGAGCCAAGTTCTTGCCACTCTCTGTCCATATCTCTGGGGCCTTGATTGTCCAGCCTAGCCCAGTGGGTGTCCCTGGTGTAGACCCTCTGGAACCTCCATTCCTCTCCATGCTGTGAATCTTCCACTGCCCTCTCAGGCCCCTCCTCTGAAGCTGCTCGTCACCCTGCCCCCCATCATCTAGCTTGTGTTTCTCATCTCCCCGTGTTGGAAGAATGTGGCTGAAATCAGAGGGTGAATGTCTGCCTGCTCCAAAGGGGCAGGGAGACCCCTCAGCCAGGCCCTGATCCTCACCCAGCTGCTCCCTGTAACTGGAGGCCTTGGGAATCTCAGGTGCCCACTGCCCCCCCCCACACACACACAGACAGGAAACAGGGAGGAAGAGGAGGAAGAGGGCTCCAATAATCCTGCAACACAGACTTGGAACTGCCTGAGGTTCCCTCCAGGATGTGGGTGGGCGGGCAGTGGTCCTCCTTCTGCGGGGGCTCTGGGGAGACCCTTCTGGGCGCTGCTTTCCCTGCCAAGTGCACCCATTTCTCAGAGGGCCATGTCATTGCCATGTGACATCTCATTCTTCGTTTCTGTGTTGTCTCTGTGCACACACGTGTTCCATTGTGTCACTTCCCATGTCGGATGCACGCTCCTCTCCTACCTCCTCCTCCACGTCCCGACCCTTCCGGCTGGCGAACCCTAAGACCATCGTTCGGGGGAGCAAGGGCTCGAAGGATGGGGCCCTCACGCTGCTGTTGGACGAGTTTGAGAACATGTCCGTGACCCGCTCCAACTCCCTTCGGCGGGATAGCCCTCCCCCGCCCCTGCTGGGTCCTCCAGCCCCACACCATGCCACATCTCACCAAGAGAATGGGCTAGCTGAGGCCCAGGGGAAGGGACACCCGGAGCCTGGGGGCAGGGGTCCCGCGGAGGGCCGGAGTCGAGCAGCTGGGCGCAGGGACCACGGTGGCGGCGGCGAGGCTAAGCGGGACGGGACGGAGAAGAGGCCCAAGTCATCGGGGGAGGGAACTCCGGGCCACCCAGGGAGCCCCCAGCCACCCCGGGACAAACGACCCCTGTCGGGGCCTGACGTCCGGACCCCACGGCCCCCAGGTCCAGGAGGTGGGGTGAAGTCATCGGCCGGAAGGCCATTTAACACGTACCCGCGTGCTGATTCGGACCACCCCCCGAGGGGCACGGGGCCCCAGGTAACCAAGGCAGCCCTTCTCTATACACTCCCCTACTGCCCAGTCCCTCTGCAGTGTCTTCCAAAATCTCCCCACCCCTGATGAGAGGTGCTGCTATTGCCTCGAGCATCCCTGCCCCCTCCCTTCCTTTCCCCTCCTCCATCTCTCATCTGTTTGTTCACCATCAGCCAGGGAGTCTGGGGCCCAGAGGACTCGCTTCTGCTGCTCCAGGGTTGGAGGGCTTGGGGGAGCTCTCTGCTGACCTGGCACATCTCTCTTTTCTGTTTTAGGGAGAGCCCCGTAATCCTGCCCCTAATGGTCCTTCTGCAGGAGGCCTCCCTCCACACTCCTCCAAGCCGCTGCCCCGTGCTGCCCAGGGCCCCGAGCCTGCCCCCGCCCCGGGTACCCTGAGCCCCCACGCTTCAGAACCCCAGCTGGCCTCTCGTGTGCTCCCCCCTCCTTCGGCCCAGCCAGCCATGCCTCCGTCTGGACCCCGCTCGCCCCAGAGGGAACCCCAGAGGGTGTCCCATGAACAGTTTCGAGCCGCACTGCAGCTTGTGGTGGACCCAGGCGACCCCCGGTCCTATCTGGACAACTTCATCAAGATTGGCGAGGGTTCCACGGGCATCGTGTGTATCGCCACGGTCCGAAGCAGCGGCAAACTGGTCGCCGTGAAGAAGATGGATCTTCGGAAACAGCAGCGGCGAGAGTTGCTCTTCAATGAGGTGGGGAATTATCAGGATGAGGGAGGGCCCCCGGGTAGAGGCACCCATGGAGACTGAATCTGGGCCCCTCCAGGTGGCATTGGGGCCCTCCGCAGTCAGGCTGCCTCCAGGCTTGCCAGGCTTCCAGGCCCGTCTGGACTCCGGGCCTTATTGCTCAGCCCCTCTCTCCAGCGTCTTGTCACACAGAGCCCCAGGCCGCTGTTCTCTCTGGACGTACACCAGCCTTCTGCCTGCTGGCCTCTCTAAGGCAGACCGTGGCTCTCCCTGATGGGGCCTGGACCAGATGAGACAGTGTTGGGAAGCAGGTGGGCCCCATTTCTCCCATTCCCTCAAGCCCCCTGACCCAGGGTCCCTTGGGTCCCCTCCCGCCCTCTCTCCCAGGTGGTCATTATGCGCGATTACCAGCATGAGAATGTGGTGGAGATGTACAACAGCTACCTGGTTGGGGACGAGCTCTGGGTGGTCATGGAGTTCCTGGAAGGGGGAGCCCTCACGGACATTGTCACCCACACCAGGTATTATGGGGACAGCCCCCCCGCCCCAGCCTTTCCCTGCTTCGTCCTTCTTCTGATTCCTTCCTCATTCTTGTTCCAGCCCTTCCCTTGGAGAGGATTCCCAAGGGCAGGGGCGGGGAGCAGGCTCAGAGCAGGGGCCCCTGAGGCTGGAGATGGCCTCCCCCTCAGGCAGGGGTCTCACTGTTTCCCCAGGATGAATGAGGAGCAGATTGCCGCTGTGTGCCTTGCTGTCCTGAAGGCTCTGTCTGTGCTTCATGCCCAGGGCGTGATCCACCGGGACATCAAAAGCGACTCAATCCTGCTGACCCACGACGGGCGGGTATGCCAGGGGCATGTCGAGGGGCTGAGAAAGCCCCCTCCCCAGCAGCCAGACCATTTGTCGGTGCCCTCAGTACATGTCCTGGCCCAGGGGAGTCCCAGGGGCCGGGGAGGGGGAATCCTGAAAAGATCACCAGCCCATTGTGGATTCTTTGAGCAAATCCAGGGGCCTAGACTTAGAGCCTAGAACAGGGACACTAGGTCCTTCCCTCAGACCCTGTGGAAGGGGGCGGGTTCCTGGTGGGCTCCTTGGAGGCAGTGTGGTGTGCTTAATTGGGTTTGAAGCCAGGAAAATCTGGGCTCAAATCCCACTTGAGGCACTGAGTGCCCCAGACCTGAGCCTCAGTCTCCTCATCTGTGAAATGGTGACAAGGACTCATGTCCCTCCAGTGTGTGCCAAGGGCTCTGTGACCCTCCCCTCCAGCCCAGAGCTGCCTCCTGGCTTCCTCTGACTCTCCTCGGTCCGTTCCTCCCCACAGGTGAAGCTGTCTGACTTCGGCTTCTGCGCCCAGGTGAACAAGGAGGTGCCTCGGAGGAAGTCCCTGGTGGGCACTCCCTACTGGATGGCTCCTGAGCTCATCTCCCGCCTGCCTTACGGGCCTGAGGTGAGGGCCGAGACAGCCCCTGGGACTCCTCGTCCCTGCCCCCAGCCACGCGACGTATGAGCCCCCCTGTGCCCAGCCACTGTGGTCCTCAGCGAAGGGAGGAAGCAGCCTTTTTAGGCACAGAACCCTCCTGGATCCTTCCACACAAGGGGCTGACCCAGGCCTGGGCAGCAGGAGGCTGTGGGAGGAGGGCCCTCTGTGGAACGGGGTTGGGGGGTGGGCCTGAGGAGAAAGAACAGGTCAATTTGTCTCCACATCCCGCCGAGGGCCGGTCCCCTGCCCCTCGGCCAAGGCATCTGTCTTCCCTTCTCCCCAGGTGGACATATGGTCCCTGGGAGTGATGGTCATTGAGATGGTGGATGGAGAGCCCCCATATTTCAACGAGCCGCCCTTGAAGGCCATGAAGATGATCCGGGACAATCTTCCCCCTAAGCTGAAAAACCTGCACAAGGTAAGTGCCCTGGGCTGACATTCCTCCCCCAAGAGAGAGATGCCTTTGGGGGTCCAGCTAGAAATAGCAGCCTCCCTGGGAATGGAGAGAGACATACAGACGCTGAGGAGAGGGCAGGGGGGTGCAGCCCTTAGGAGGGACAGAAAGTAGAGCCGCGTGGGCCCAGGCCCTGGCATCCTGCCCACTGTCTCCCCCGACCCTGCAGGTTTCCCCTTCCCTGAAGGGTTTCCTGGATCGCCTGCTTGTGCGGGACCCAGCGCAGAGAGCCACAGCCAGTGAACTGTTGAAGCACCCCTTCCTGGGCAAGGCGGGCCCCCCGGCCAGCATCGTCCCCCTCATGCGCCAGAATCGCATGAGATGAGACTGGACTGCCCCCAGCCCTTCTCCTAACCAAAGAAGCGCCTCAGAGGGAGGTGCCCCTGGCCTGGGAGACGGACTCCTCCACACGGGCAGCAGGGGAGAGGAAGACGGAGCGACCCCGCGCCCGGCTTCCCCTCTCACATTTGCTAGATGCCTCCTGGCAGGGGCACCCTAACTGGACAGCTCCTTCAGACCCTGCTGGGGAACTCAACTACTGAGTTTCAGTTTTGATTTTTGATGTTTTTAAATAATGACTTGGAAGCAAGGGCGTCACGGGTCTCCTTTCGGGGTGGAGACCCCATCCCCACCTCTGCCTCGATTCAGGGGCCGTTTGGCTTGACACTGGAAATCTGCAGCCAGGAGACCATCCCCCCGGCCCAGGCGGAGGGGTGCTGAGGCTCCTGGGAGCCAACCCCGCGGGAAACGGCTGTTTGGGGTGGACGGAAGAGCCACGCGGCCCTCCGCTCGTGGCTAGTCTCTGTCAGAGCGTATGTTTCTTGGGTCACCGTGATGTGTGTCTGTCATGTTTGCAATGGATGCTTGGACTTTGCCTGCCTCTGGGGCTTTTGTGTGTGCATGTCTGGCTGGCTGGTGTGAATGTATGTTGACATACTAAGTGTGTGGAAACCTGTTTCCTTTTCCCACCTCCAAGCCAGTTGGGAGGCCGACGGGGAATGCCTGAATTCGACTGCATCTGCCTGCCTCTCCTTCTGCTGATGTCTGATGACAGGCAGGTTCGGGGAGCCTTTCTCCTCTGGCCTTTGTTGAGAATACTACTGTGCTCCTATGGGACCCTCTTTTTTTTAAAAAAAAAAAAAGCTATTTATATTGTCATTTCATAACAAACTCTTGGCCCTGGGCCCCATAAAGGGGTCCTCCAGGAGCCAGGGCCCTGGATTTGGGAAGCCATGCTGCAGGCCTGGACCCCCAGTTAGTTTTACAATTAAAATGTTTTCCTGCATTTCTGAGAAAAGTTGTAGCTGAGTGTGGGTGTCTGGGATGGGACTGTGGGCCGAGGGGAAGGAATGTTGGAAACAAGTCATTGTCTTGTCTCTCCTTTGTGCCCCCTCCCCGCAGTGTAGCCAGGTGGGATCACCTGGAGATGAAGATGTGCACTTGGCGGGGTGGGGGAGGTTGGCCAGCTTCAGCAGCCCAGGCCCCAGGACCTCCGGACGGTTTCCAGGAAGGCTCATATGGGATCCAAGCTAACTCTACCAGCCCTCTAAGGAGTGCAGTTGATATGACCTGGCCTCAAGATGGAGCAGTTCGGCAAAGATGTGCCTAGTTCTTTAATCCCATTCTTCCAGTCTGAAGCCTACCTTACCTTGGGGCCCCCACTTTACATGTCCTTTGGCTCCATGAGCTTGTAGGCTGACCAGTGACCAGTGTGGGAGCAGGGGTTCGCTTTCCAGCTCAGTCCCTGGTACTGAAGGACACAAAGCCCTTTCCTTCCACATCATTAAGGAAGCCAGCGCCAGGACCGTCCACCTCCTTTGGAAGTCGAGTGGCTTGGCTGGATCCCATAACTGGTGTCAAAGCCAGGATGGAAATGAACCCACATCCAGAGTGAGCTCTTCCCACTAAGCGATGGCCCTCATTCCCCTTGGTTGGGGAGTCTTAGGCCAAGGCTTTTCTGAACCTCAGTTTCTGCCTCCGTGAAATGACTGCTTTGGCCTAGATGTCTGAGATTCCTTTGTGCCTTGGGCTTCCACGAAGGAATCATTTTTTTTGTGAGTCACACATTTTTCAGAAAGGTTCCCTACTGGAACTGTGTAATTAGCTAATGGACTCTGCCTGGTGAAATGGGACTGGCAGTAGGTCACGCCAGAGAGAACAACCCACGTCCCCTTGTGTGACCCCCTCAGCGAGGAGGGGTGGGCCTGAGAGTGACCATCACGACAGCGCCTACGACCCTGGATAGTTGTGCAGATATCGGATGAGGCTGAGGCTCAGAGTGCCAGTGACAGGTCTCTCGTCACACAGGGTCAGAGGTGAAACGCCACCGTATAAGCCGTCGTCCCCTCCGTGGCCCTGTCCACACAGAGGTCCTGGCCCCGCCTGGCTAAGGCCCCCTCCCTGGGCGGTTCCCACTGGCTGGAGCCCCAGATCTTGAGTCCATCTCCTTCAAACCTTTCCTGCTGAAGCACACAGTGGGCATTTACTATCGATGGTTGATTGATTAATCAACAAATGATTAATCCATCATTAAAATGATTGGCTGACTGGAGAAGTGATTCACTTAACAAGTGATCAAGATCAGCTCCAGAAAAAGCAGCCCACTTCCGCGTTCTCAGTCCTGGGCTCTTTCCCGGCATTTAGTGCCTTTTAGGTCATGGAGCAGGTCCTGTTTCCTACCCTGCATCTCTCACATCCCACACACAGGCACATACACACATACCCTGTGGATCTGTTTCTCCCTTGGCTCTGGCGCCCCCTGCAGGTTGTAATTGTCTCCACTGGTGGCACTCTAGTTTCACAAGTTGACGGGCACAATTTAGAGGGGCTGTTGAGCCCCACCACCAGGATGATAAGGAGAAAGAGCATTGGGCTTAGAGTCAGAAGACCCCAATTCAAATCATATCTTTGCTGTTTACTATGTTACTTTACACAAATGCCTCTTCTGGACCTCAGTTTCTCCAGTTGTAAAATGAGACACTTGGGTTAGATAATCCCTAAATTTCCTTTCAGCTCTAATAGTTAATGAACTCCACTCGGTGTAGTAACTCCCCTTCCACCCCATCTCATTGCAGTGCACCCCCACCCCCCCAAGACAGATAGGGCCTGTATCTACTGAGGGACTGGGAGGGTATATGTCTGAGTGCCTAGTAAATACTTAGTGACACACTGGCTGACCTTGTACTACCCTTACAGGGCTTGCTTTGCCTTGTGTCTCTGGCCTGCCCCCCCTGTTTTCCCTCAGTCCACTCATGGGAGGTAGGTCAGTCACCCTAACCCTGTGGGAAGGAGCTAAGGAAGGGACCTCGCTCTTAACGAAGACCTGAGTGCTTGCTCAGCAGGTAGAACCAGAAGGAGCCTCGATCCTCAATCCAGTCCAACTGGTTCAGTTTTACAGATGAGGAAACAGAGGCACTGAGAGGTGACAAAAACTGGCCCAAGGCCATGCGGGTAGGAAGTGGCAAAGCAGAATTTGAAGTCACATGCTGGGGCTGTGCATTTGACAGTCTTTCCCCTGTGTGTCCCCTGAAAATCAAAACCTGGGGGGTTCTGGGGGCCCTGAGGTTAAGAGGTGGCTAGGGAGCGTATGGACCTTTTTGTCTCTGTCTCTTTCTCTCCTGTCTTCTCTCCTCTCTATCTCTCCCACTCCATCGGTTTGTCTCTTTGTCCTTGTCCCTGGCTCTAGGCCCCTCCTTGCCCTGGATTCTTGGAGGAGGACACGCTTTGCTCATTATATTAAATATGGTTCCCACCCATCCGGGTCCTTTTCTGTGGTTCTCTTCTCTCCAGCACCACCTGTCTGAGCGGGGCAGGATGGTTGGCCAGCCCTGGCTGGGTGTGTGTGTTTATGTCTGTGGTGGGTGGGGGACTTTGCGTTTGTCTCCCTTCTCCCTTCCCCCTCCCCAGTTCCTTACCTTCTGACACCCCTTGGTTTCAAGGCCTTGGTGATGAAAGCAGGAAATAGCCTGGAGCCAGAATGCCTGGTAGGGCAGGCTGGTCTGAGGTGCTTCTAAGACCTTCTGAGGTCAAGATCTTCTGAGGTCAGCGGGCTCCTTATTAATCCTGCCATTAGGAATGTTAACGAGGCTGATTGGCCTCATTAGGGAGGGCCCAATCCCAAAATTAACCTTAATTAGTCCTGCCCATCTCTCTCCCCGGAAAGGAGGGGGCTACCAGTATCCTCTTTCCAGGTCTGTGAAGGTCACGGAGCCCCAAGGAGGAGGCAAAACTTGGGGGTTGGTCCGTAATAGGGCCAGGGGTTAGAGAGAGGGATCCGATGGCCTGAGTCTTTGATGGGACCTTGAAGATGGGGGAGGGGAAAGCTACCTGGGTCCTCCTGCAGTTTTCTGAGAGAGAGGGGTCAGGATGAGGGGGCTGGGAGGACTGGACACTTAAGTTTTCCAACCAGGTTTCAGGAGGCTGGGTCCCCAAAATGGGGCTAGGGCTGGTCTCACGAGTCCCTGAGTGGACAGGGAAGCGTTAGGGACATGAACTCCTGGGTCTTTCCCCACCTAGAGTAGCTCCTCCTTAAATACCAAAATGATGTGGCCCTACCTTCAGGAAACCCACAGCAGTAAAAGATACAGAGAGAGATGGACAGACCAACAGACAGAGAGATGGATGGACCTGCGGTGGAAGGAGAAATGACCAGCCAGCCAGATGGGCAGAAGGAACCACCGAGACCCCCGTCTCCCCCGTTTCCCCCACGGGCTCCCTCGCCCCCGCCGCCGCTGTCTCCTGGCTCTATCCTCGGAGTGCCCCTTTCGCCAGGGCCATCGGAACAAGGTGCCCGCCAGCTGCTGCTGGACGAGTGGGGGACATCCGGAGCGGAACTGAACCTGCCGGAGGGCCTCAGCTGGAAACTTCTCTACGTGCGGAGACCACTCTATCGCAACCTGCTGCGGTCACCGAACCCCGAGGGTGCCGAAGTGGGGGCGGGGCAGGGAAAGTCGGGGTGATGGGACTCGACGGAGAGATAGTGGCCGGCGCCAGGGGACGGGACAGGGACAAAATGGGACGAGGAAGGGGCTGGGGAGCGAGGGGGGGTGGGCTCGTCTCTCAGCCTCACTCTCTGCGTCTCTCTGTCCCTTGCGTCTGTCTCAGCAGCTCTCTGCCTTTATTTCTGTGTCCCTGTGTCCTTATCTCTGTCTCCCTTTGTCTCTGTTTCTATCTCTGCCCCTGCTTCTCCGTCTCTTCCAGTCCCCATCCCTGGATCTTTGTTTCAGCAGGCTTGGTCCTTCGCGTCAATTTCTGTCTCTGGCAGTGCCTGCGTTTGTCTGTTTCCCCTCCGCCCCGCCCCGCCTTCCTTATGCCTCTACCCCTTTCTCTGTGTCTGTGTCCCTGTGTGTCTCTGTTCCTGTCCCTTCCGTCTCCCTCTGTATCTCGTCTTCTCTGTCTCTGTCTCTGACCTGTATCTATATCTCTAGCACTTTTCATATCTGTTCTCTAGATCCATCTCTGTCCCTATTCCTCCGTCCTTATCTCTCTGTCCACCTCTGTCCCTACCTTTGTGTCCCTCCCTTTCCGTCTTTGTTTCTCCCTCTCTGTCTGTCTCTATGCCTGCCTCTCTGTCTCTCCTCCGCCTTTCCTTCTGTCTCTGTCTCTCCTCCCCTCTCTCTCCCTCTGTGTGCCTCTCTTCTTCTCTCTGTCTCTCCCTCTGTCTCTATGCCTGCCTCTCTGTCTCTCCTCTGCCTCTTCTTCTGCCTGTCTCTTCTCCCCTCTCTCTCCGTGTGTCTCTCCTCCTCTCTCTGTCTCTCCCTCTCTGTCTCTCCTCCCTCTCTCTGTGTCTCTCCCTCTCCCTCTCTGTCTTTCCTCCTTCTGTTTCTGTCTCTCCTCCTTCTTTCTGTGTCTCTCTCTCCCTCTCTGTCTCTGCTCCTCTCTCTGTCTTCCCTCTCTTTGTCTCTGTCTCTCCCTTTCTGTCTTCTCTCCTTCTCTCTGTCTCTAGTCCCTCTCTCTGTCTCTCCTCCTTCTTTGTGTCTCTCCTCCCTCTTTGTGTCTCTCCCTCTCCCTCTCTGTCTCTGCCCTGTATTTGCTTATCTCTCTAACACTTTTCACATCTGTTCTCTGGATCATGTCTGTCCTTGTTCCTTTGCCCTCATCTCTCAGTCCACCTCTGTCCCTCTCTCTGTCTCTCTCCTGGCCCCTTTCTCTCCTTGTTCCAGGTCTGGTGGTTCCAGTTTTTCTGCTCTGTCTTAGACATCAACTGAATGGTTCCATTTTCTGATATTCTCATGCCTCTTTCCTTGGAACAAACACCTCCACCCCCATCCCCACCCCTGCTAGAGGGGAGTTGCTTCTGACTTTGTTTTCAGCCCCACGGCACTGACTCAACCTGGCTTAGCCAGTCTTGCCTTGCCCCAGGGAAGAGCTGGAGGAGCTGGGACACTGGGATTTTTTTTTTTTACTGGGGGAGGGGGCTCAACTCTGAGCCTTGGAGGATGCAGGAATGAGGGGATTGGAGGATCTGTGAGTAAGAGGTTTGGGGAGAGTGAAGGCATGATGGAAAGAAATCCATCATGTGGATCAGTGACCAGGGAATCCACGGGCAATTAGCAATCAGCAAAGGACTAGGGGGTCACCGAGGGATCTGGGGGTCAGTTGAGGACTGGGAGATAACTGCAGGTCTGGAAGACAGGTGGTTAGTGAGGGATGCTGTCAGTGAATGTTGGAGGGGTCAGAGGGCATGAGGGAGTCCACAAAAGGTCAGTGAGAGGTAAAGGGTTAAGTGTAAAGTTAGTTGGGGAGGGGTGGCTGTGAGGCTCTGATCCCTCCCTTCCCTATTTCAGGCATCAACATCTATGAACCACCACCCCCTTGTGGCCCTGCTCGGCCCCTGGAGACTCTGGGTAAGGGCCTCCCACCTTGGCAGAAATGGAAGGGCTGGGGAAAAGGAGGAGAGGAGATTACCTTCTCACCCTCACCTCTGTACTTATCCCAGAAATAGACCTCTGGGAGGGATGTAGTATTCCAGGGAGGAGGTTTGTATATATTTAGGTGCTGAAGGGCATAGGACCTGGATCTAGCCCTGTCTTTCCTCCCTCAGGTAACTTTAGCGGATGGCAAATCAGCACTGAGAAACTGCTCCCCAACTTCAGGTGAGCACTCTGGGGCCCGGCAGGGCAGTCTACACAGAGCTACCTGCTGAGCCAGAGAGCAAAGCCACCAGGGGCCTATCTGGTCTGGAGGGCAAAGAAACCCAATGCTGGGGTTCTCATCTCAGAGGGAATGGGGGAGGGAGAGCACAGACCTATGACCCCAGGCCCCCCCCCCAGCTCCCTCTTCTTGCCACCAGCTGGACAGTGAAGCAACAGTGTGTGGACCTTCTGGCTGAAGGCCTGTGGGAAGAACTGCTGGATGACGAGCAGCCAGCCATCACCGTCATGGACTGGTATGGAGGCTGAGAGGGCACGGGCGGGTGATGCCCTGGGCGGCTCTGACTGAAGAGGGGGCGAGGCAGGCAATATGCTGGGCAGCTCTGACTGAGGAAGGGGGGCCTCTGGGGGTCCGGGAGCAGGATTCCCAGAGCTTCTCTCTTGCCCCCCACTCTCACCCCACCTCCAAGGTTTGAGGACAGCCGCCTGGACGTGTGTGTGTATGAGCTCCATGTCTGGCTCCTAGCTGCTGACAGACGGACTGTCCTCCGGCAGTACCACGCTGCTCCTCGACCCTCTCCGCGGGACCCAGGTGGACGGTGGTGCCAGGTGAGAGACTGGTATCTGTTAATGGGTTCCTCCCAGACACCCCAGAATCTCCCTCCTGCTCCCTATACTCATGGTGCTCTCACGTCCTCCAGCACCCTCCACTCTCCCCACAAATTACCCCGGATGTACTTCACGATGTCCTCACCAAGCTTTTCTCACTGGTCCTCAGCCCTGAATCATAGATTTAGAGTTACAAAGTCTTTGAGGCTAAGCTCTCATTTTAAAGAAGTGGGAAACTAATAGAGAGGGCGCATGACTTATCCAGGGTGATGCAGGGAATAAGTAGCAGCTAAGATTTGAACCTAGGTCCTCTGACTTAGGCAGCTAGGTGGCTCAGTGGTTAGAGGGCCCAGCCCAGAATCAGGAAGACCTGAGTTCAAATCCGGCCTCAGACACTCACTAGCTGTGTGACTGTGGACAAGTCACTTAACCTCTGTCTCAGTTTCCTCATCTATAAAATGAGGTAGAGAAGAAAATGGCAAGACATTCCATTATCCTTGCCAAGGAAACCCCTTGAACAATATTGTCATGCTACGTCCTGTGGAATCGTAAAGAGAAGAACACAACTGACTGACCCCAAATTTTACACTCTTCCTACCACACTTCTTACACATGTCCCCCCCATATTTCCTAGTATCTTCTGCAAAAATCACCCCTTGTTCTCCAAACGTTCTCCTGTGTCTCCTCCCAATGTTCCCTCTGTGTTCTCCAATATTTCCTTTCTCTCTCCCAATGTTATCTCAGCCTTTCCTCCCAACCTTCCCTCTAAAGTTTCCCTAATGCCTCCTTCCCAGCCTCTCCCAATATCCCACAGCATCCTCTCCCAATGTCCCCCCGTATCTTCTCCCAATGTCCCTTGTGTCCTCTCCCAATGCCCCCCCATGTCCTCTTTCAAAGTCCTTCTAGTATTCCCTCCTAATGTGTCTCTAGATAGTCCCCCCCCCAACCCAACAACCTGACTGGGGAAGGAATGGGTAGGGAGGGCAGACTGGGAATTGTCTGGTCTTTCCCAGTCCGGGAAGGGTCCCTCACTCTGTTGTCCTGCCCCTCTAGGTGTCTCACGTATTCAAACACTATGGCCCCGGAGTACGATTCATTCACTTCTTGCACAAAGCAAAGAACCGTCTGGGCTCCGATGGGTTCCGGAGAACTCGGGTGACTGACTCCTCAGTGTCCCTACAGCTACGGAATTAACCTGTCTTCTACCCCCTGCCACATCTCTCCCCTAGTGACCCCATCCCTCATTCATATATACAAGGAACCTTCTGGTGACCTCCCCTCACTTTCCTTGAAGGATTTCTTCTTTATTTTAGTCAGGACATGTGATATAGTCAGGGTAGGGAATTCTCCTTGTGGACACTCCCTCTGCCTATGTTGCCAGACATCTTGTGTGTAATGTATTATCTGGGAGTTGCCTGAGACACTGAAAGGTTGACTTACCTGGGGTCACACAGCCCATATGTATCAGTTAGAACTTGACTCTAAGACTGGCCCTCCACCCACTGGGCCACACTTCCTTAACTCCTGCTTCCCCCATGAAGGATACCTCCCCCCCAAATATATTGCTGAACATCCTCATCTTAGCCCCGATATTTTCCCAGGAAACCAACATCAGTCCATCCCAAATATCTCCCACCAAGGACCTCTCATCTCCCCCTAAAATCTCTAGGAATCACTCAAATCTCTTCCCTAGGGATTTATCTCTCCCAAACATAGCCTAGGAGTTCCAAAATATATTCTCAAATATATCCTGGGGACACTGCCTTTTCTCCCCTAAGCCCCTAAATGCCCCCCTCAAAAAGCCATCTTCTCCAAAAGAGTATCCCCTCAAGGATCCCCGCATGACCCCCAAATGCTAAGGAATGCTTTATTTTAAAAAAAAAAAATATCCACATGGGGCAGCTAAGTGATGTAGTGGGTAGAGCACTGACCCTGGAGTCAGGAGAATCTGAGTTTAAATCCGACCTCAGACACTTGACACTTACGAGTTGTGTGACTGTGGGCAAATCACTTAACCCTGATTGCCTTACCAAAAAGCAAAAAATAAATAAATAAATAACCCACTTAGGATCATCTCTTCTCCCTCAAATTGTCTCTTCACAGTGACCTGTCCATCCTTCTAATATCTCTCTCTCGGGTCTCTCTAATATCTGTCTCCTGAAAATCCCTGCAGAGATTTATTTCCCCAAAACAACTCACTGGGAATGCTTCATCTGCCCTCACAATCATTGTCCTAAATATCTTCTTAGCAACCCCTTTTCTCCCAGATATTTCCCAGGAACCCCTAATATCTCCCTAACTACCCCTCACATTCCAAATATGCCCCCAGATAATATCTCCCCTAAGGATCCCATATTTCCTCCATATTCCCTGAGGACCCCTCATCTTCACCCCAATATATCCCATAGGGACACTGCCTTCCCCAGAGATCTCCCTGCTCTATGTTTTCTGGGATGTTCTTTAAATGTTTTTCCCCTGGAGCTCTTGGGGGTACCCCTTGGGACTCCCCAATGCCTCTCCTCCTCACCTATCCTTATAAAAATGTCTATATTAAAGTGCTCTGGTTTATGTCTCTGTCTCTGTTTGTGTCTCTGTCTCTGGTCCCTGAATTTGACCATTCCCTGGGGACCAAGCCCTACAAAGCTCTCAGACCTCAAGTGAGTTTTGACACTGAGCCCTACTCTTCCCAAAAAGCAAGAGATAGTGTTGAGTTTTCACAAAAGCTCTTTATTAATGGGGTGGCAGCATCTGGGGCTGGTGCCCCCAGCTTGTTAGCAGAAGTGGGTGAGGGTGTAGAAAGCTGGAGCTAAGGACCTGGAGTGGGGAGGTGTGGGGAGGAGAAGGTCGGGTGAGCTGGGGGCTTCCTGGACTGGGTCCAAGCTGAGTGCCTGGTCTCCTGGTTCACTCTTAGCTCAGTTTTGGCAGTCCAGGTCAGCTACGGTATAGCGGGGAGGGGTCCAGACAATGGCATATGGGCTAGGGCAAGGAACCCAGTTGGGAGTCCTGGAAAGGATCAGCCACTTCAGCTGCCACTGGTGACAGCTGGAAACGAAGACTTGGGTTGCAGTGGGCTGCCCTGGCCCTAGAAAGCTAATAGGCTGACCTGGGGGTTCCAGTTAGGGTCTGGGGCTCTTGGAGGTGGAGTTCTCGTTGGGAGCTTAGTCTCCTGGGGGTATCTGCAGTTGGGGCACCAGAGCGGGAGCCAGGTGCTCACCCGGGCATTCGGCCAATCGGCAGCAGCAGGTGGCAATGAGAAGAGCATAGGGTCAGGAGACAAGGCTTGCTCTGGGTTGTGGAGGGGTCCTCGCGGGGAGCTCCCCGGGCCCCAGGCCGCCTTAGTTACACTTGCAGTAGACACCCGCGATGGCCTTGTTCCAATCTGCAAATAGCCCGCGGCGAAACTCCGCTAGCCGAGGGTAGGCTCCGGTGGAGAACTTGCGGGACTTCCCCCCCTTGCCGCGCTGAGACCAGACAGTGAGCTCACAGCGCGTCCCCACCACCAGGGAGGAGGCGACGTGGTACCAGCCCGACGGCAGGTAGGGCAGGTCGGCGCCGGGCTCCAGGCTCAGCTCGGCGCCCGCGCAGCAGTTCTCGTAGTTCATCGCTCTTGTCATACAGGCGGGCACACAAGCGAGGCCCGCCCTCGGGCTTCAGGTCCGCGGGCACCGGGCATGCAGCCCGGGCACCCGGCAGGGCCCCCAGGAGTGCCAGCAGGAGAAGCGAACGCGTGAGGAATAGGGCCATGGTCAAAGGCAGAGGACAGGCAGGAACCTATCTCCAGCGCTCCCCAACCTCCTTATAAGATCCTTGGGAGGACAGATGGTGAGAAGGGAAGAACCTGGCCGCGAAGAGATAAAGAACGGGGTGGGGGGGTGGTGTGCGATGGAATCCCCGCACCTGGGAGTTTTAACTTGACAACCCAGCACCCAGCTGGGCCCCACCTTCTAAGAGTGCCCTACCTCCTGGGTATCCGTCACCTGAAGCCAAGCCCCTGCATCCCCACTCAGGGTCAGCCAATATTGATTGAGTGGACACCCTATTCTCTCCAATCTAATCTTCCAGCCCAGGTGGTGTCTTCCCAGAGGCTCATAAGCAAGGCCAAAGAAGACCCAGACTGCACTCCTGTCTCTGAGCAGAGCACCTATGTTGAGATCCAGGCCACCTGACACAGAGACCCACATTTCCACAGTCCCACTTATGTGCGGTCACACTACAGACCACAACCACACACAGCCCCACAATCCCACCTGCTCACAGCCATATACAGACCCACAGCTACACACACACAGAGACCCACAATCCCACTTGCTCACAGTCATACACAGACCTACAATCCCACCTGCTCACAGCCATACACAGACCCAAACTACACACACACACACAGACCCACAATCCCACCTGCTCACAGACATACACAGACCCACAATCCCACCTGCTCACAGCCATACACAGACCCACA